TTCACGGTGAAAATGGCTACCAAATGCTATTATTGTGTGAAAATTCTCAATTTTATTTTTTACATTTTTAACTTTATAATGCTATAACTTATTGAAAAGTGTATTGATCAATATAATTTTTTTATGGGAAATACTATTTTTTAATATTCCTTTTTTCATTCGACATACTTTATCTTAATCAGGATATTAATAAGGAACTAGCAGTTTATGAAGCTTTTGGAATAATCCACCATTTTTTTAAAATTAAACGCTATCTAAAGACTTGCATCGAAGCGTTTTTTTTTTGATAGTGATTTTAATCACTATCAGATATTATTATACTTGATCCATCTATGCCACGTCACCACTGTGCCGCGACCCCCCTGTGCTGAGTTTTTTTGTTTACCTGACAGAGTAAATAAGACAAAGCTAATATCCCAAATGGAATTTGTTGCAACTCGTAAACTTTTCGTTTAAATCTTTTGAAATTATTTTAGTGATATATTTACTTATTGTATTCGTTTTGCAGCGATTTAAGAGATCGGAATTCCTCCAGTCTTCCCTACAATGTCATATGTTTTAAATTAATTTTTTTTATTACATGTAATAAAAATGATTATTAAAATAAGTAGATAATAATATGTTATATGTTTTATTTAATTGCTTATAATTCTTTCAATTCCCCTGCTGTAAATTATACATATTATTTTATCAATATTTTTTCTCATTATTTTCATAGAACATTTTTGAAATACAATAATCAACCACGAATGACATTGAATTTCATGAGTTTTCAATCTAATATTTTTGTACGATTATAATTATAATAAATGTTATCAAATGAAATATATATAGAAGATCGGCTATATATAATTTTTAAGTTACTATCCTATTCAGCCTAATACCTTTACAATATTATAATAAATAAAACGAATTCATTTAAATAATTTAAATTGGCATTTCATTTTTAACAGCGAGTACATTATTTCAGAAGTATATTTTAGTTCAAAAATCAGTCAAAACAGCTGTCAGCCTTGGCCTTTATCGATCCAATAATACTGGAGATATTCCTCAACCTTCACTATAGTCCGTTCTCGGGACGATTATCGGCGGTATAAATTTTTTTTGCGGTTAAAAACATGAGCGCAAATTTACTACCCATGTATGTGTTTTTTTATATTATTCTGAACCTAACCCTTCTTAATCCTTAAATCTTTTGTAAATAAAAACATTAAAGAATTAAAAGTTGTTAACTGACTAATATAAATAATAAATATTTTAACATACTTCAACAAATGAATTTATATTTAGTTCAATTAATGCTCTTTGATTATGATAATTTTAATGTATTTTTATGTAAACACATGACTAGAATATTTTTTTCTCGATTTCATAATATGGAAAATCAATGTCTTAAAAAAGGTGATTCGTACTTCAACTGAAGTGTGAAAAACCGATAAATTTAAAAATGTATTTTTCAAAATTGTTGTTAAAAAAAAATTTTATTTTAACATTGGTACCTTTGTTTCCTTAAAACGGAAATTCAGCACTAGATGAACGAATAGTGAAGTTTCCTTTCGGTATGATTTTTTATTATAACACTATAATATATTAGGAATTTGATGACCTAAAAAATCCTTAAAAAAGTTCCAAGAGTTCCAAAAATGACATAAAGATAAAAAATATAATCCTTGAAAATGACTTAAAAGATAATTTAAAACGAGAATAAATTAACAAAAATGATTTAAACAATGCAAAAAAAAGACTAATTTTTTTTAGATTTCAAAAAATTTTAAAATGCAAAAAGATTATATTTTTAAATTGTTTATTAAAAAATTATTTAGGGTGTTCAGGAAATAAGAAACGGGTTTCTATTGTTCTCATTGTAACAATTGACTTGTTTTCTTATTTACTAAATACTTTGTATGTAAAAAAGATAAATGCAAAATAAAAATTTGGTCACAACTCAAATTTTAAAGTTTAATAAAACTTAACTTTTAAAAATTACACTTTAACCCTTTATGGGTTATAATATATAATGAGTTAAATTGAGATCATAACTCTTATGAAACTATTGGATACAAATTATTCTTAATTAATGTTGATTTGGATGTTTATTTTGACACAAACACTTTTTTGAATGCATGTCACAATACTTTAATTTTATTCGAGTAACTCGATATTTAAAAATATACACATAAATGCAAAAATTCAAAATAGTGAATGTACAAACACTATGTAAGTCTTTAAATATTGTTTAAAAATTATGTATTCAGATTATGTATGTCTGTCTTGTAGTATTTGAATTTACAACATCATACAAGATATTAAAATGTTTTTTTTTCTATATAACTGTATAACATACATTTTACATTGAAATATTATGATATAGAATTACCATTAACTTAATTACAGTATTTATTTTGAATACCTGTCATGTTCAAAAATTTTCTGGTATCCACCAAAACATTTTACATCCGATTTTTTTTCCAATTTCATATTTCTGTTTACAATAACGAGGTTTCAATAGTTCTGTCAAATAAAAGGTACAGCCAATTTTTTATTGCAATAATACGAAGAGAAATTAAATAAAAAGCGTCCGTTCCATGTATAGTTTTTATCAAAATCAGCAAAACCTAATTAGGTTAATTATAATTCATTTTCTTAACTTATTAATTTATATGTTTTGTATATAAATTATAAAGTTTGATTATTACTATAATTAGTATTTAACAATTAATTAATTTATCAATAATTTTATTTTATTAATTCATTATTTAAATTCACTGAATCAAGTAAAATTTACATAGCATAAGAAATGTAAGAACTACCGGCAAACGCTACTAACCGTAGCCAACGACTGGATGACAATAACGAGACGACCGATTTTGTATGTTAGCAGCGATTTGCCGGTAAGCTGGTGGGGCGCTTGTAACAACTCGATACTAGAAGACCGTGTGATTGTTTTAAGAATTGCAATTTCACCTTAGGCTGTAACGCAATTTTTTGTGAATTGTGTTTTCAATTAATATTTAAAAAGACGAATTAAGCTATATTATAAGTTCTAAATCAAGTCATTACTTAATGAAATAATTTATTCAAAAAAACCAGTGTGCGCGGATGAAGTGAAACTTCTTTTAGAGTCATTCAATTGATAGAATATTAAGTTTGTATTGGGATAAAACAAAAAAATACATCTACAAATTTTATTTTCAGATGAAAATAATTAATTTTATTATTATTATTAATTTTCTCATTCCTTTGTCACGAAAGATATAATGAGCTTGTGATAACTGAACTAACTAATGTTAGTTTTGAACTATCAAAGATATTATGTAAAAATTGCATCTATTGTGGAGTTTTTTAATTTTTTGATGTACGATCAAAATAATTTGAAATCAAACTATTTAAAGCACTTAAAAAAAAACATTACTTCAATTTTCGAAAATACAGTGTTAAATTATAATATAAAATATACTTTATTACTTACTATTATTATTTATTAATAAAAGTATACAATGTGATTCATTTATCACGAACCACTTAATTAATAGAAAAATAAAAAAATTATTAATAATTTTTTTATTTGTTTCTTTAAGTTAAATGTTTTTTCAATTTTTCAATATTAAGTTTTTTTTATGTTTATACCTTATTTTTTTTTTTTAACATTCTGTTAAGAAGTTTCACTTCAAAAATTAAAAATTCATATTTATTGTTTTTGCGTTAGAACCTATTTATTCTCAAATATTTGCTGAATAAATGCAGACGTTTAGAATTTTGTCACTAGTAATCTAAAATTATACTATGACCCAAAATTTGATTAAAGTTTTATTTTATTGTTCTATTACTATTTGTTTTCTAACTATTTATTTAAAATTTCAATAATTGTACGTAATTATTGTTGATAAGTACGATAATAATATCCAAAAAAATATCTAATTTGTAGATTACACACTTTAAATTTTTTTTATATTTTACATATAAGTAATTATTAATCACATGTATAAAAATACCCATTTGATTGTAACCCAACCCAACTAACCATAGTTTTTAATTTTATTATAGCCAGAACTAATCATGATTAATTGTGAAAAATTTAGTACTTTATAAATAAGTAGTAAAAAAGGAATGTAAATTTAAGTTGAATTGACATTAAACATTTTTAACAAATGGCCTGTTCATAATAAGTCACATTTTAGTTTTTGTACAAACATAGTCAAATTTGATTATACTAAAAAAAAATTGTTAATACTGTATCATAATTACATTTGAATGTTTATTGACTAATTGTTGATAAAGAAAAAGCAACCTTGCAAATAGGGTTTTAAATATTTCAACATTTAGAATTGTTTCGCAACCATCTTCCTTGGATAAAGCTTAAGACCATTATTTTGATGATTTTAATTGATAAAAATGTGGTAATTCATTCATATTACTACCGTTTTTATTGAAAGTCAAAACAAACGTTTCACTTTTTTATAAATGTTAGAGGACTCATTTTACCATGATAACTAAAAATAAACAATTCAATACAAAATAATATAATTTATATTAGTTCGTACTCAACAGTAATGAATTAAATTTGATAAGACAGGTCTTCTTGTCCATTATGATTATACAATTAAGAGGGCGATCAAGTTAACACAATAATATATGTACTCATAATGTATTAGAATATTTATTTAAAAAATATACTCTTACATAGACTATAGATAATTTTTTTTGCCTTTTATTAGAGTCATAGCAGTTTATAAATTATGGGTACTTCTAGACAGGTTGTTGGTCTGTTACTAGTGAGAGGGATGACAACTGAACTGATGTCTTACTCAGTAAATAGAGCGGCCTGTAACTGAGTTTATAAACTGAGACAATGCATATTAAGCACTGCCGTGTGTTACTCACTCAGACACAGTCCCTCTTAAATAAGTAATTAAGAAATGTAATTATTATAATTTTGAATTGAAAAAAATAAGATTTTTCAGTAACTATTTGTAATTTAGATAATTGATTTTATAATTGTAGCATCTTAATTTTCAATAAATAATGGAATAAATGAAATAAAATAGTAATAATTGGAATAATATTTAAAAGTACTTGAGTATATTTTTAGAGTTTAGAAACACAACTTGTTTATCATAAAAATGTAAAAAAGTACATTCATTTATATTTATGAAGGATTGATGAATGAAACTTAATATGTTCTTCAATATAAGATGAAACAAAATAATAACTATGATCATATCCTTTTTCATAATTGACAGTAATTTTAATATTTTCATTTTCACTTGCAGCCTTAACAAAATTTTCAATTAGCAAATCTTCTTTTAAAAACTCATCTGCAGTACCCTAGAACCATTAGAATGCTAAATTAGAATTAATCTAGGAAATCAATATGAATGGGAAATTTTTAATTTTTGAAAGACTACAACAGTAAAGAAGACATTTAATGTAAACAGTGAAAAATTAAGATTAGAATATTGTTTATTAGTTTCATATATTTCTTAATTTATCAGTCATAAATTACTTTTTATATTCATCCCTTTTACTTTATGAGGATGACTTTATTTCTTAAATCACAAAATTGCTCTAATTTTTCCTTTGGTGTATTTTTACAAATAACTGATTATGTACAAATTAATGTTTTTAACTAATAATGCATTATGATCAATAATTATATTAATTTTTTTGATTAATTCAATAACAATTATTAAATTAATCATTAAAATATCACTGTTACAATAAGTGTAAAAATAGTAGAGTTGTAATTTTTAAAAATAAGGACTGAAAAAATGTAAGTTATGAATTGAATATGTTGAAAACATATAACACTTAAAGATTGATCGGATTCTCATAAACCACATGATTATTCACATAATAAATACAATATTAAAAAAAAACTTGTTAGTTTTTTTTAATAATTAATTAATGGTTACACATATATTTTGATTTATTATCTATTAATTAATCTTAAGAATCATTCCATATAATTTATAAGAATTTAAGCTTTAATTTTTCAAATGGCAACATACATATTAAACTAGATTATAAAATTAAAAATAATATAATTAAGAAAGTGACTGGCCAATAATAATTTTGGACCAGTACTTAGAAAATTATTAACATTATATAACTAGGAAAGAGAAGAGATTTAAGTGAAAAATGTCCAACTGTAATAACAAACTTTTATTTTTTTAATTAGATCAATTTTTATTTTATTAGTTAGTTAAATATGTATGTGATGATTTAATAGATGAATTCAAAAACTAATTAACACATGATAAATTAAGAAGTACATGAAAATAAAATAAATTTCCTTGTAAATATTTTTATTTTTAATCAATTAAATAGTATTACCACATGTATTAGTATCTCAACTTTTGGTCCGTTGTAAGATGTAACTATATGAGTAGGATCCCAATCTTTCCAAGTTTCTTCATCTTTTCCAATTAAAGTTATTAGTCCTTCCCTCAGTGTAGGTGAGTTGGAAATATTGCAAACAGGAGCAAATCCTGATACTGATTTAAATTTAGTTGGATTAAGTAATGAACACAGTAATGCTCCATGTCCTCCCATACTAAAAAATAGTAAAATCAATATTAAATATTTTTTATTAAATGAAAATAATAAAATAATAACAAAATAAATATGATATGAATTGTAGAACTTATAAGTTATCTGTCTTATAAAATAGGCAAAAAATTCTTTCATTATGAATCGCATGATTATTGATCATAGGATTGCACTCTGTGCAACAAATCTTTAAGCTAAGTTATACTAGTTAAAATATGAAAATTCATTCAAGGTTGCAAATACTCATCATGTTTGTGATAAAAGTAGACTATTAGACCAAATGCAAAGATGAATGAAATATTATAAATGAATATAGCCAACTATCAGAAGCAAACCAGAGTACGGTGTTTACCTATTTGGTGTATGCTATTACTTTGAGGGGTTTCATGTTGAAATGATAATAGTTTAGACGAAAACTATAAAAATGGCTTATCATATAGATTTAGCCCTTAAAGAGATGTAAAAAGATAGTATTTAAATGCAAAAAACTGATATTACCTGTGTCCAGTAATAGATACACAGTTATTTAACACTGGAAAGTTGTTTAATATCAATTGATATAGTTCTTCAGTTATGTAAGTATACATTTGGTAATGTTTATTCCAAGGTTCTTGAGTAGCATTCACATACATTGAAGCACCTGATCCTACATTCCATTTTTCTTCTTCGTTAGGAATATTACATTTTCCTAAAAATAAAATCATGCTATTACATGGAAAATTTAAAAATTTTGCTGTAAAATATTAATTAATAGAACTAAAATATTCAATGGATACATATTAAATTAATATTATTAAAAAAAATAGTAAACTGAATAGTTAAAAATTATTACTTAAATTATAAGAAGTAAAATAACAAATAAAATGTTGCTATTCATTATTTTAACAAAAAAAAAATTATTCTATTTCATTAATATCAAATCTATACATTAGAATAAAACGTACTAGGACTTGTATCAGGTGTAATGACAATAATTTTATACTGAGATGCTATTCTTTGAAATCCTGATTTTGTAATAACATTTTGTTCAGTACATGTCAAACCAGATAAATAAAACAACACAGGAAATCTTTCTGCTTCATTTTCCTGAGGAGGAATATATATACCGAATTTCATGTTGCATTTTACTACATTACTATAAAAAAAAAATTATGTCAATATTGTACATTATAGTAAAATTACTAATAGGGCTAGATTGAGACAAAAAAAACTGTACGCAGGCTTTTTATTTTTTTGGCACAGTACCTTCAGTGCTTAATTGTTAATACGGCATTCAGAATGAGTCATTAGAAATGTTAAGTTTCAAGCATATTTTATTAATGAATAGTATAAAATCGTATTTACTTCCTCAAATTTACATGATCTTACAAGTTCTTAGAAAAATTGATGAAGATGTAATAAAGTTATAACTTTTATATACACATTGTAATTTTCAATAGAAAACTTTCAAAAAATTATTATTATTATGTTATTGTTTAGTTAATTTCTTCAATTTTAAAATTAATAATTTATTATACATAAAAATTAATTTAATTTAANTTGGCTAACCAAGCCATATCTTCTACTTTCTCATCAAAAATAATGTCACTACCATATAAAGATATTTTAAAAATAATCAACCGAATTTCCGTCCAACAGTGGCAAACCCAATGGGATGGTACTACCAATAACAAATTAAAAAACATTAAAAAAACTGTCCATAAATGGCGTTCGCCTATCAACCCAGCTCGCGTAGTAGATACCCTTATCACCAAAGTCAGAATAGGGCATACAAGACTCACACACTCACACATTTTCAACAAAGAGGAACAACCGTATTGCTCTACATGTGAAGTACCATTGACCATTGAACACTTAACACTCCACTGTCCCACATACAATGATGAACGGAGTATACTAGGCCACCCCAACAACATGGAGGAAGCTCTGGGCGAAGCAAACACGGATGCCATTTACAGATTCTATGAAACCGCAAGACTTGTAAATTTAATGTAAATTCATAACATTATTGTATAAAATTTAATGATAAATATGTGTATATAGTTTAAATCAATTGATTGTCAACTTATAACTTTAATTAATGTACAAATAATAATCATGAAAAAAAAAAAAAAACTGTAGGCTAATGTCCATAAGTTGTCGAAGCCTTTTCATAAAAAAAAAAAAAAAAAAATTAATTTAACTACCTATAATGCTCATATACTTTTTGATGACCATCAAAGCATTTATTATTAGTGATTATTTTCATTTCTGTTTGAGTATTCATTGTACCTGAAAAAATATTTTTTTATGAAAATAAGAGGAAAAATTTAATATTATTTTTATTTTAGTGATAATTAGTAACAAAATTGACAATATTAACTAACAATTATGTAAACAAATTTTTTTTAAATTGTTTTTAAATAGATATGATATAAATACTGTTGTATCATAAATATTTATAGTACATTTTATATACTTTTTCAAAAAAATATATAAGAATAAATACAGATACTCTTAATTTATTTAAATACTTTTTTTTTTTATCTAAATTTGAGTTCACATTTAACATGAAAAGTAAAAAATGTCTAACAACAGAAAATAAAACTTAATATTTCCTATAAATGATAATTAGTGTTTAACTAAGTAAACCATTTTTTCACATTCAAGATATTAAGTTTAATCAACCGTTAATTAATGATCTAGCGAGTAATACTTTTTAGTAAATTTCAACAAAGTTTATGTTGCAATAAAATGTCTTATTAAATTTATCAAGTTAAAACTTAAGCCATTTAAAAATTTCAAAATATTTTATTGTAGTGTTCCTTCTTTTTTAAGTATAGCACTAGCAACACTAAATATACACTATACAGAAGCACTTGATAGAGTATTATAATACAATGTTGGGAAGGAATTCATTAAAAAAATAACAGATACCTGGAACAAGTTCTTTTTGAAGGAACAAAGCAGCTTCCTTTAAAAATCAAGGAACACAAACAAAATGTAGAGTTCCTATAAATTTAAGCGTTTTTAATTTCTTATTCTTTATTTGTAGGCATTATAAACATAAATATATTTTTACATTGACTATTAACAATATCTTTTATATTTAAATCTGATATTAAATAAATTACTATATTAAATGGGAAATTTTTTATTTTATTTTTTTCAAACAAAAATGGTACTAAATGAAGAATGATTTCTTTTTTAAAAACGGGATATGTTTCTATTGTAGGAAGTCAATGACAAATGAATATAGGTAATTTAAAAAGGAATTTTTTTAACATTGATATTAGAATAAAAGCTTTTTTTATAATATTTATAATACACATTTGTATTTAATATATGAATATATCTATACTATTGTAGTAATTTGTAGATTTTAACTAAGTTTTGTAAATTTTAAATAAGTAGAATATTAATTTTAAGTTTTTATATGCAAAATATTCAAAATTATGTAGTTGTGGATATCCATAAAATAATAGAGATCTTAATAAATTTATTTTCCTAATATTTTTGCACATAAACTTTGTTAGTTAGTTTGAGAACATTTTTAAAAAATAATAAAAATTAGTTATAATATTATTGTGTGGTGTCAAAGTCTAAGTAATACCAATACTGTATATATATGAATATCAAAGTCTACATTTTGAGAGATAATTGTTAATGTTTTCTTTAACCCTAAAAAAAAATGATAATTTATCTAAATTACTAATAAAAACTTGTATACTTAGACTTGGTTATAGTAAAGATTATTCAAAATTTAAAGTAAAGTAAATTTTAATTTTGTTACCTATTTGTAATTAGAACAAAAACCAATCGTGAAATGTAGTTAGAATGTTATATTTTCCGTTTAAAAATATGTTCGAATATTTAGTTAATCAATATTTTTCAACATTTATTTTAATATTCAACATTTGAGCAATTATAGCATGCAACATGTAAGAATAATTATAAATTATGATTTTAACCAAAGGAACAATATGAAAATGAATATTAAACGGTATGTTTTGAATTAATTGAGGAAGAAAGGAATCATTAATAAAAATATGATAACGTTTATTATTTTATGAAATTAGATATTATAACAGCGCGATCTATATTTTTAAAAATTATAAATATTAAGTTTTACTATTATAAGAAATAATGAGGGTAAATCTAGCATGAATTGAAATTACATCTTATGAACAGTATATAATTCAAAACCAACCCTCCTCCCCGTGTACTTGCTTCGGCAGTACATATACTAAAATTGGAACGATACAGAGAAGATTAGCATGGCCCCTGCGCAAGGATGACACGCAAAATCGTGAAGCGTTCCACATTTTTTTATTAAAAATTATTAGCTTAATAAGACATTATCTTCGTATTAATATACAAATATATTTATACTGAGGTTCAGTAAGTAAACAAACATGTCAGTTTTAAAAACAATGAAAATAGAACCCTGTTCCTTTATTTACTGAACACTACATAAAAAAAATTGTATAATATATTATATATTCGTTTTTTTAATACGAAATACATGTTTTAGAAGTTTCTACTGATTTTTTTATGAAAATTGTAAAATTATGATTATATTACACAAAATATATACTCGATTTTTTAATTTGTCTTACAAACAAAGCATTATGGTTACTATAATTATGACAATAAATTGAAATAGTACATGGGTAAATCCATATCAAATCATCTAAAGTCGTTGCGCGACCACTTTATTTTTTTTAAGTTGCGGTTAGATATCAAACTTGAAATTTTTTTCATAGAAACTACATACATAGTACTATATTGTGTGAAAAAATCATATTAAAATATTTTGTTCCACCAGAGAAAAATTAAAATAAAAAAGTTTAAAAATTGATTTTTTAGAAATTCGAGCATTTTTAAATATGTCCCAATAAAAAACGGTAAGAGTAAAATGTTTCAAAACACAATTAAATATTACTGTGAATGTACGTTAATATTTAGGAAAAAAAATTAATTAAAAAAATATGATTTTTCATAATCAATTTGATCTTTGAAAATTACATTATTTTGTAAAAAAAGCTCAATTTAGAAAACAAAACTTTCCAACTTAAAAGTTNAGAAAACAAAATTTTCCAACTTAAAAGTTAAAAAACGTGTTGGTAATTATGGGATATGTTAGAGTATTGCATAAAAAAAAAACGATGAAAGTTTCAAGTCTTAAATATAAATACTGTTATCATAAAAATATTTTTACGAATTACAAATATTTCATAATTTAAAATTTTTGATAAGTCATAAATAAATTTTCGTAAAACTTTTTTTATTTTTTCTTCTTATATACTAGACAATTTGTGTGTAAAATTAAAAAAATAAAATAAAGTGGTTGCGCAACGACTTTGGATGATTTGATATGGATTTACCCACATATATTCTGACGTATACGAAGGGTTTGACTGTTCGTCAGTGTCCAGCGACATGTCAAACTCATCTTTCAAAATGTTTTCTCAATACTATAAACCTAACTTAATATCTAAAATGTGTATTGAAAATTTTTCAAGTGGTCCATTAACCCTTCTTTGAAATTGAGTTGTTAGTGGTGTACAAAAATAAATCCAAATTCCCTCTCACCCTTGTAAAATAATGAAGAGGGATTTTACCTTATCTAGTACGTAATATGTTTGACTGGGCCTCATAAAACCCAAAAGATATCTATTTAAAACTCTCCCCCACTGTAAATTAGCACTTTGTGTACAAAATTCTCAAAACTTATTTATCCTTAATGATGAATCTTATTATATAAAAGAACAAGGAAAAAAACGCTTTTCTGGGAAAATTACTTACCGTGCTCGGATTTTCAAGTATTTTTTTTTTTAATGATAGTAGGTCACCAGACTCCGGAAAATTATTGGTTTTAATATGCGCATTGACTCATTTCTGCTCATACGTTTATCCTGAACCTAAATTATGTGGTGTAATATGTATTTTTATTAGGATACTATTTTGCGTTTGCACATAGCACTATATTTTATCGAGGAATGTTATATGTTATATATAAATTTCAAAACTAAAAAGTTAAAAATTAATTTTAACTTTTTAGTTCGATGTGCTCTAAAAGTGTGTTTTTTTAACTTATATTTGTTTTATCACATATTGTTGGATTTACTAAAAGTGATAAGGAAATATCTTGAAATAACGATTAACAAGCATTACCATTGACTTTTCTAACATATTCAACATTCAACATTCATAAATCAGAATTTATTTTTCGATCTTAAAATGCCTCAGGGGCGTCGCAAATTGCCTTTTAGCGGCAAACAAAAGAAGCAACAGTTACAGGAAAAAAGAAAAAGAAAACAGTTGAATAGTGCAACAAGAAATGGTATCTTTTAATTTATTTTTAACCAATCTACATTGTGCAATAAATGAATTAATAATTATAAAAAATTGTAAATGGTGTACTAATAACATTACTAATTGGATTAATTTACAAAAATTAAATTTAAGGAATATTGAGTTTTATAATTTGTAATAACGTATTATTTCTATTAAAAAAAAAAGTTTACCCTTTTATAATTAAACACATAAAAATTTACTTTAAATTTTATTATAGATCTTGTATATGAACATACAGAACATAAGAAAGAAGCTTATAAACAAGAAACTGACTTAGATGTGCAGTGTATCAATCAACAACCATTACAACGCGGAGGCAGATCTAATCCTAATCAGTAATATATACTAATATTATTAATTTTGTTAAGTTCACATTGATATCAAAATATAAATTAAAAGTTTGTTATTTTTCCATGGATCTATTATTGTAACCAGAAACTAGGCATATGTAAATAAGTGCAACTAAAAACATTTTTTTTGAAGTGCTAAATTAATTTTTCCTCAACTCTATTTTAACTTTGATGCAAAGCTTAAAAGGTATTAATTTTACTATGATGTGTTTTTTTTTATGTTTGTTGCCATTTTTATTCAGCTCTCATTAGACCGATTTCATTCAACGATACATCAAAATATCACAATTCTTATCTTGTTGAAGATAAAATTGAAAAAAAATTGTCCCGATGATATTATCTTCTATGTGCAAATGGCTGCCTTATTGCCATTTTTCTTTTCTAATTTTGGACACCAAAATTGAACAAAAAATTTAATTTTTGTGTAAAAATAACCATTTATTGTTTGTTACTGTAATACTTAAAGTTATTATAACTTTTTTGAAAAATTTATAAATTAAAACAATTTTTTTTATAAGTATCTTAGGCATTTTCCTTTCATTTGGCATTAAATTTTTGAAAATCCCCTTATGTGCCTACCCATAGGAAGAGATTTAAAATAAAAATTTTGGCACAAAAATTTTACCTTTTTAGCTTAACTTTTGAAAATCTTTCAGAAATATTCTGAGCTTCAAAAATATATTAAAATAAAGCTTTTATTATTCACTATGAGTAAAAAAAAAAATTTCTTACCCATTATACTAGAAATCTTACTCTTTATATATAAATAGCCCATGAAGCTGGACAAAAAATATTATTTTTGTGTAAAAAATTATCGTTTTTAGGGTTGTTATAAATTTTTATTTACTATTAACTTGTCTACATTTTAAATCAAAGGTTTAGTTCTGTAGAAAGGTGGGGGTAAATAATCCATTTAACTAATCCTCTTTTATAAAAAAGATTTAAGTGTTAGTATTAAATATTTTAGACTTTTAATATCAATCCAATAAGTATATTAAAAGAAAGGGGCTGCTCTTTCTAAAAAGAATGTTTTAGTTTATGATAAATTGAGGTAAGGCAATGAGGTAATTACAGAATGATTAATTTAATAGCCACTTGATAGTTATTCTTTTCTACTTTTTCTTTTAGTTCAATGTTTATCTCAATTTTTCAATATTAAGTTTTTTTTATATCCATACCTTATAAGTATATCAACTTAAATTTGTCAAATTAACTAGCTTATATAATAGATAATTATCTAATTATTTCCTTAAATACATCAGTTTTTCCTGATTGTTTTTGAACATTTGATAGGTTGATAATAACTTAAGGGTAAGTAGTTATTGATATACAAGCATTTTTCATATATAGAGTGGTTATATAATATGGATGAAATTATCCATTTTAATAACCAACTCTAAGTATTAAAATCTTGTACTTAAATAAGTATTTATCTTGAAGTTATTATTGGCCTACCAAATTTTTTTGTAAGAAAATCTCTAAAAACACAGACTATTTTGTAGTTTTTAAATAATTAAAAATTTTTTTTTATTAAAAATAAATATACATTGTACCTATTCTAAGAATGTAAAAATTGATAAAAAATTAAAAAATGTACAGCAAAATTTTATTTATGTCAACAGTTTTAAGAATTATTAGTTAGATCTATATTACTCTGTATATATAATTTTCCAAAATTTTTTTAGGGGGAGAGCTAATTTATCATGGGACTAGTCAGACACCCTATTTGTACTTTAGAATATGTAATGTTTATAGGAGGTTTTAATTAAACTTTCTCAGTTTAATAAAGTTGAATTAGACTTATATTAGCTTCGATGCGAAGCTGAGAAGGTATTATTTTACTAAGATGTGTTTTTTTTTTTTTTTTTTTTTTT